CTGAGGCAGTGATGCAAGGGAGTGGGGGCCAGGCGTGGGCCCCATCGGGGAGCGGAAGCTTAGCGCAACCGTGGGTTCGCCAGATGTCAGCCCATGGCTGCATCTCTTGATCAGCAAGCTGGAAGGGTTGGGACTTGGAACCAGCAGCAATGACCTCTTGGACCGCTCGCACCTTGCTGAACCTATGGGCCTGAGACGCTCCTCTCTGAAAGGCTTCTCGGGCCCAGGCCAGCCAGGCAGAGCTCGCGGCGGCTTCGGCAGCCCCTATCTTGGCCTTGGCGGTGAGATACACATGCGTGAGGACTTCAGCAAAATCCGCTCTGGCCAGGACGGCAAACCCCGACTGAAAAAAACCAGAAGTGCGATCGTCGAGCCTGGCCAGCACTTTTTTGCACGCACCGACCTTGATCATGAAATTGGAGGCCTCGGCCAGCGCACGCAGTAGCTTGACATGCTGGTTGGGAGTCAAGTCGCATATGGCTGCACACTCCTGGAGGCCTGCCACCTCCTTGGTAAGAAACTGCCTGCATTTGCCAAGGTGCTTCGCCCAGCCCAAGGCTGTGGCCCAAGCCTTGGTGCTGGGGTCCTTGTATGTACGAGTCTTGGGGGGGGCCCACACCAGTTTTTTCCACCTCGTTCTGGGCGGGCCCGCTCTCCCCAAGACACCAGACGAGCAGACCTCTATGCGGTCCCACCTAGAGGACAGCTCGAAATCGATCCCCGAGATGACCAGGTCCCAAAGCCCCGCGAGGTCACCTTGGGCCAAAAGCTTGGGGCCCGCAACCTCAAGCACGGCCTTCCAAGGGTACACAGGGGGCCTCGCGCACCCGACAGGGGGCACCGCAGGGAAAGGCTTGGGCTCATCGGGGACTCTGGCCCACATCGGGGTATCAGACGCGGCGAAGCCTATGGAGATAGGGAGGTGAGGATAAGTAGAGGCCCCCTCGTCAACCAGAACCTGCCTGTGCAAACGAGCCGCTAGCATGCTGCTAGCCACGAAGAAATCAATAAAAGAGCCAGGCTGAGAGTGCCTGCAGCTGGGCAGGGCGGAAACATATGCGAGGGCACTCACTGCCTCCAGCCAGCCTGACTTGTTGAGCTCATCGATCTCCATGTTCCAGTCCGCGCAAATGATCCAGGGCACCTGGAGCGCGTTCAGCCCACACACGTATTGCACGAGGGTCCAAACATGCGAGCAGTTGGCCGCACCGAGTCCCTCGCCATCCTTGAGGTACGCCGAGATGACCACGAGTCCTCCTGGCAGTCCCCATCGAACGTGGCAGGCCACTGCGCGTCCTGGAATCAGTATGTGGCTGTCGCGCTGCGGCGGGGCCGTGGCCGTGATGTGCGACGGAACCAACACGGCCACGCCACCTGTAGTGCCAGCTCCGCTATCACTGCGTATGGCCGGTGCCCACAGGCCTTTCCAGCCCGCGTCGAGCATGGCATGCTGCTTGTCAGCCAAGTGCACCTGGTCAACATGCGTCTCCTGGACGGCCATGACCGAGCACTCCGCCTGCACCGCGTAGTCGACGATGGGCCCGAACGAGCTGCCGTTGAGCGAGACGATACGCGGCATGTGCCTACTAGATTTCGAACTTGATGCGGCAAAAGGTTGGGACGAGGACGCGGTACTCGTAGGTCCGCGCGTGGCCGAGGTCGAAGAGGTACTCGCGGGCTCCCCTCCAGCCGATCCCAAGCCCAGAGAACTCGCACGGCGGTCCTGGCCCACTGCCGAAGCAGAACACCAGCCTACCGAGGGTTCACACACATGGCGGGGGGCAGCCTTCGCAGGGGGCCCGCAGCCCGTCGAACTCGACAAAGAAGACGAAGCTGATGGAACGCCTGCCGCCGCAGGCGCCGTAGGCGTCGCACTCGTAGGTAATACGCCGTCCATCACCGAAATACTAAGGTGTCCCGAAAGAGCGGGACCAGGGTCGTCGATGTCCTGAAACGGGTCGACGTCCGAGTCATCCAGGTTGGTGCATTGAGCCGTCATCATTGCAAGGCAAAGTAGGATGGACACAGTAACAAGATGGGAACTCAGGCGCTCACTTCGCGGTGGCCTTGAGCTTCTTGGCGAGGCTCTGGGCGTTGGCCAAGTGCCTCTTGAGGCGATCACGCAGCACAGGAGCTTCATCATCATCATCCACGTCACCAGGCGCGGGTACATCAAGCCCGCAGCTGCGAAGGTGCTCACGACAAGTGGGCGCATCCATCTCGTCGATGTGCTTGTGAGCTTCTTCTTCTTGATCGACAGCCATCTCCTCAACATCCTCTTCGGCCTGGTCATCGGGCTCAGCTGCAGGAGGTGGCGGCTGTTGCGCTGCTGCTGGTTCCTGCTCCAACTTAGCGACCATTTCCGCCATTGCCTGCATGCCAGCAGCGAAACGCTCAGAGCCACCGAGAGATTGCAGCACTTCACCCAGCTGAGACACGGTTGACTTGAGGCCAGGGATGACCGTGCTGAGCGTTGGCGGCTTTGCCTCACCACCGACGGGAAGCCCACGCGCCACGATTTCCCGAAGCTCATTCTCCAGGGAGAGCAGGTTGGTGGCCGCCTCGGACTCGGCGGCCTCGGCCTTGGCCAGGGCTTCCTTGGCCTTCTCGACTGCATCCCTTGCTGCCTGGACCTTGGCAGCACAGTTGGCCTTCTTCTTTCGAGCTTCGGTAACCTTCCGATTCTGGGCACTGACGTTGCTCTCGAGTGGCTTCTCGGACTGCAGTTGCTCCTGCAGGGACGTGCGCTCCGCCAGCAGCTTGGCACGGTACTCGGCATCCGCGGTCCCCAGCGACTTGAGAATGTTGCCAATCTCTGCCAGCCGTGTGCGCCGTGCAGCCTGAGGACTGGCGTCTGTGGCCCAGGGCGGAACTGGAGCAGACGTGGCGCCGGTGTCGGCCGAAGGCTGCTGCAACTGCTGCAACTGGCGTTGAAGGTCGGCAAGCTGTCGCGCCAGGGCAACTTCACGCTGAGACTGCAACGCAGGGCTGCGCACCACTGGGACCTTGGGCTGCGGCACTCCTCCGAACGCCGATCCCTTGGGCAAGTTGCAAAGCGCACACCACTTGTGATCAGCACGATTGATCCAGGCTGTCCCAGTGGGCTTGTGCACGCACCACTTGCACTTCCAAGGCTGCGCGTTCTCGACACGCTGCTTGGGTCCCATTGCGCAGAGCAACACAAGAGAAACACTAGCCACCGACCAGCGCACGGCCTAGTCGTGGCGACGAAACTGGGTGAGGGAGCCCAACCCCTCGGTGAAGGCGAAAGAAACTGTCGAGCGCAAACGCTCTGGCACTGCCGCGGACTAGCGGTATCCGTGAAAGCCAATACGGGCTCAGCCCGCAACAGCATGAGCCTTGAGCCAAAATGGCTACGGAGGGGGGGAGGAGGAGGAGGAGGAGGAGGAGGAGGAGGAGGAGGAGGAGGAGGAGGAGGAGGAGGGTGGCGGAGGTTCGGCTGCAAGGACCACATCGGGCGCTCGGGAGGGGCTTCGGTGTTCGGGCCGCTCCTCGGGCCCCCGGCCGGAGACCCTGGCTTCCGTATCCATTGGTTCCTTATTCAATGCCCTCATCGCAGCTGTCCCGATCACAGAGGAGGAGGAGGAGGAGGAGGAGGAGGAGGAGGCGGAGGAGGAGGAGGAGGAGGAGGCGGAGGAGGAGGCGGAAGAGGAGGAGGAGGAAGAGGAGGAGGAGGAGGAGGAGGAGGAGGAGGGGGAAGAGGAGGTTCAGCTGCAAGGACCACCCCGGGCGCTCGGGAGGGGCCTCGGTGCTCGGGCCGCTCCTCGGGCCCCCGGGCTGGAGACATCCACTAGTGGCCGAGGCCCGCCGTCGCCCGGGGGGAGCCCCCTCGCGCCCTCGGCGGCGCTCCTCGCGGCAGCACGGCGACCGTACACGCCGGTCGTCGAGAGCAGGTTGAAGTCGGGCCTGTCCCTCTACAGGAGGAATATTTAGAATTAGTCAGAACATGCCATGAGGACGATATTTCGACTATTTTTGTAAATGTTTGGAGTGTTCCTTATTTTCGTCCAAAATCCGTCTGTATGGGTGACTCGCCCGACTTCAGAGTAGGTGTTTTTGAGACTCCCAGATCACAATCTACTTCAAGCGCCGTCCTACTCCAGAATCCGCGTGCCCTTTGCTGTGTTCTGCTGATCTCCGGGGGTGGGGACCCGGGCCCAATCTGCTTCATCCGCCCTGCTACTCCATGTTTTCGCCGACTTCTGCCGGCCGACGTGTAGAGAGCCTCCCGCAGCTCCCGCAGAGCTGCGCGCCAAGGGTCGCTCTTGCCCGGCGCCGCTCGCGTGTGCGGCCGAGCCGGCGGCGCGGGGCGTCCCAGGACGGAGGGCCGCCAGTGGCCCCGAAGCGGCCGGCATCGAGCGACCTGCGCTGCAGTCACGACGCTGGATCTAGACGCCCGAGATGGGTACGAAAAGAATGGGTACGATGCCCAACAGCAGTTCCTGTTCATTTTGGACAGGGCTCGCTGTCCGCGCCGCCGCGGCCTGTGTCCATTCGAGACAGGAGGCCGCCTGCCCAACAGCGGCCGCTGTCGTCTTGGGACAACATTTGTTGTTGGGCATTGTGCCCATTCTTTCCGTACCCATTTCGGGCGTCGTTGGGTTCAGGACTGGCTCGGGATTTCGGGCTGCTCCGTGGGCGTGGGTCGGGGAGAGCCCCCTTCGTGGCCGAGGCTCGCGTGGCCAGGAAGGCTCCTGCGTTCCCTTTGCATTGCTCTTCCGGGGTATGTCGAGCGTCTACGTCTGGGGTCTCCTGGAAGCCTTTAGAGGCCTGTGGGGCTCTTCGGGCCCACTGGGGCCGCTTGGGGGCTGGTTGGGCCAAAAAACAAACAAAAACCTCGAGCAGCAGCAGCAGCAGCAGCAGCAGCAGCAGCAGCAGCAGGGGCAGCAGCAGCAGCAGCAGGGGCAGCAGCGGCCAGGCGGCCAGGCGGCGCCGGTCGGCCGGGAGAGAGCGCCGCCCGCGCCCTCTCGCCGCGGGAGGCCCGCCGCGAGAGGGCGGAGACCGCGCTGGAGGCGGGCTGCGTCTGCGGCGCCCTGGCCCAGATGGTGCCGCGGGGGCCCGGTCTGCGCTGGCCGGGGGCATCGAGTCGTCTCGGAAGGAATGGTCGATGATCCTGAAGACGTGCGTTAGCTCAGTGTGTGTGCGTGTGTGTGTGTGTGTGTGTGTGTGTGTGTGTGTGTGTGTGTGTGTGTGTGTGTGTGTCTACGCCGTTCAGCCCCACCAGTAGATCGTTGCATCGCCGGCGTCGTATTGGGTGGTCTCGATGGACAGGAACCGCGTTGGCGCTCACGCACGTTCTGAGGGTCATCGAACTGGGTACAAAGACCGACAGCCGTTCCTGTTCATTTTGCACGAGATTCGCTGTTGGCGTCGCCGCGGAATGCGTCCATTCGAGGCAGAAGGCCGCCTGCCCAACAGCGGCCGCTGTTGGTTTGTGACAGCATTTGCTGTTGGGCATTGTACCCATTTTTTCCGTACTCATTCTGGGAGTCCAAATTATCGATTGCAGTCGGACCGAGGTACAATATCGAGGTCGTTTCGGGGAGGGTGCCCTTAGTGTTCTTCGTGCTTGTTGGGTATTCTTGTGCATCCTGGGGGAGGGTGCCCTTGGATGTTCTGTTCGCTTTGGCCACGGTGGGTCTCATGTTCTTGGTGGATGCTATTCTGGCATAGGTCCGACCATATCGACTACATGAAAGAGAAACCCTTCGCCGGAGTGACCTTTGGTGCGGTTTCACCTGGCCCCCCCCCGATCGCCGAACACGATGCGACAGCAGCGGCCTGTGCGCCCAGGTCGAGCACCCCCCGCGTCTTCCCAAACTCTTGCCCAGCGTCACTCTTGCGTGTAGCCGAAGTTGCACTGGACTTTTCAACTGGGGTCGAAGTAGGTGGGGTCGGAGGATCGCGCCGCGTGGCGATGCGGCTCGATATTGGGCCAGGTCTTCTCAACGCCAACGTCGCCGATGCATCGCCGACGTCGCCAATGCATCGGCGATGCCTCGGTGATTTATCGGCGATGTGGCGCGACTCTTCGTCCTCAGCTTCTCTGATCCCCTGTGGGAGGCCTTCAGTTGGTCGGGGGCGGCCAACCTCGATCTTGGCCTCGCTCGGACGTGTGCCTCCCTCTTGGCGAGGCCACCGCCAGCAGGTCTGGGCCATCTTGGAGCATCTTGGGCCACCGCTGGCACCGAGCCCGCTCGAAGCCACACAGCGCACAGGGAAGGGGCGTCCTCCAGGCGACGGCGGGCGATGCACCTTCCGGGGGCCTCGCCTGCTCGGTGGCGGGCGGTCCTCCTCCGGCGCCCGGCGTGCGCCCGGCGCGGATGCGGCGCGGATGGCGCCGCGAGGAGGAGGAGGAGGAGGAGGAGGAGGTGGAGGAGGAGGAGGAGGAGGTGGAGGAGGAGGAGGAGGATGTGGAGGAGGAGGGGGAGGAGGAGGAGGAGGAGGAGGAGGAGGAGGAGGAGGAGGAGGAGGGGGAGGAGGCGGAGGAGGAGGAGGGGCCTCCGGCGCCCGGTGTGCGCCCGGCGCGGATGCGGCGCGGATGGCGCCGCGGGGGCCCGGGCTGCGCTGGTCGGGCCTCGGGGGCGCCTGGTTCCTCGGGGGCCCCTTCGCACGGTGTGGTGACCACACCGCGTGGTGAGCCACGGGGGTCTCGGCTTCGGGGCTCGGGTCGTTCTCCGAGGACTTGGCATCGCTCGGACGTGTGCATTTTTTTCTCGGCGAGGACCATCGAGGACCATCCTGGAACATCGAGCGACAACAAACACGCACGAAACCAAAAAATGAAGGGGAAATGGACGTCCGAGCGATGGCGAGAGGACGTCTCGGGCGACCGGGACCGTCCGAGGTCCCAAGACCGTGCGGCGCCGGAGCGCGCGGCGAGGTCCCCCTGGGGTTCTGAGGCCTCCGCGCGCTCTGGCATCACACGGGGCTGGGGCCGAAGAATTTCGGTGCAAGCTCGGGGAACCTCGCCTGTTCTGTGAATGGCGGTCCTTTTTCTGGCGTCCGACGTGTACTCGACGCGGATTCGACGCGATGTCGACGTGGATGCGACGTGGATAAGTAGCGGCGCGATGGGGCAGACGAGCCCGCCGAAGCCCGAAGATGCAACCCGAGGCCAGGCGGCCAGATGGCAATTGTGGGGGGGGGAGGAAAGCGGGGAGTGAGGATTACCTTGACATCCCCACGCTGTGAATAAACGACGACGGAAGGTTTTTGGCAGTCTGGCTGATGTGCAATCGTCGTGGTGCAATATGCGCGGTGCAATCTAAATTGCACCATCTGCGCGGTACAATAGATTTGGTGCAACTCACGTGGTGCAACCTGCGCGGTGCATTTTTTGGGGGGGAAACTTGGATTTGTCATCTCCTCTGCTCGCGCAATCACTCCACTCGCCCATCCGCACCTTGGTTTGCAAAACCCATGCGGCGGCGATTTCCATGAGTGGTTGGTGTTGGCTGGTGCATCAGCGGCCGCGCTGGCCCGCGCATGCTCGCGCGCAGGGCGGCACGCTAGTCTAGCGCGACTGACGCGGCCGCGGTGGCGCTGATTGTTGGGCACTGCGCTGCGGGCACTTCAGTGCGAGTCGGTGACTTGGGCGAGCGCGGTATCACGGCAGCGCCAGCAACACTTGACACGATGATGGTAATAGTGATGATATCAGGGGTGACGACGATAACGACGGCAAGGCCAAGGGCGGTGCCGATGCTGACCACGCCCATGACGAGGACGGTGTCCCTTCATCTGTGATCAAGGTTTTGGAAAGGGGTTGGACATGCGCGCGCGGCCGACGCGCGCGAGTGGCCTGCACTGTATTTCTTGGCAGGGATTGTGCGCCCCCCCCCGCCCCCAATTCGCGCGCGAGGGCGTGTGACTGGTTTCGACATGCGGCGCCAGAGGCCCGCCCGTCTGGTCGAATGCGACGGAGAATGTTTAAACAAGCAACGGCGTCCTTCTCGAGAACTCGCAAGAGCTCGTGCCGACAGTTTCTTTTGAACACTTGTGTTCCAAAGCCACTTGTCGATTATTTGTGTTCGGGATATTGATGTTCATATCTTTGCTAAGCCCGATTTTTGTTTTGGGGGGTGGCGCGCGCGACGACGCGATCGTGCGCAACTCGTGCCGCTTGCTGCAAGGGTTCTATTTCGACAACACGCGCGCAAATGGCTTTCGAACGATTTCGACACGCGCGCGCTAGATGCACGTTGGGTAGCATGGGATGAACATGCTGAAACAAAAACACGGCTTCCCCAATAATTTGCAAGAGCGCGTGCGCAGGTTTTTGTTGTTACACAGGAAGAGAAACCCGATTGAATAACGTTCGTGTGTTTCATATTTGGTTGGGGCATTCGGTTACGAATGCCTTACGACACCCACGGTTTGTAGAAGGATGTTTGCATGCGCTCGTGACGACACGTGCGTTTGCACGTCGTCCCGCTTCTTGCAACACGAATTTCTGGCAACTTGTGGTTTGTAACAAGCGGGCTCGCGCACAGTATGTTTTGCAGGGTGCGAGAGGGGGCGATAAGGCAATACCTGGGATGGTACGAGCTCATGTTTAGGATGGGGATGTTGTGTAAACATCGATACACATTGGCGTACCGTGAGGAACGAGGGCGGGGATGTAGACCCCAAAGCGTTGTCAAAAAAACGGCAATGATATCAGAGAAAAAACAACTATAGTCTCTTTAGGACTATAGGGCTATGGGGCCATTGGGCTATAGGGCTATAGGGCTCTGGAACTATAGGATTATAGGGCTACGTGGCCATAGGGCTGCTATAGGGCTATAGGGCTACAGGGTTATAGGGCTACAGGGCTATAGGGCTATAGGGCTACAGGGCTATAAAACTATAAGGCTATAGGGCCTTATAGGATATAGGGTTACACGGCCGTAGGGTTACCAGGGCTAGAGGTCCAGAGGGCTAGAGGGCCATAGGGCTATAGGGTTATAGAGCCATACGGCTATAAGGCTATTGGGCTCTAGGGCTATAGGGCTACCGGTCACCCTGGCGCCCGGGCACCTCGGCACCACGGCGTGCCGCCGAAATCGGCGCCAAACCTGAAGTAACCACATGAATCCGCTAGGACCCCTGCAGAGGCAAGTTCTGATTGTGGAGTTTACGTGGTGCAACCTACGTTGTGCAATTCACGTGCCGAACTTTCAGTTGTCAGCTCCACTGCTCGCGCAATCATCCCACCCACCCACCCGCAACCTGGTTTGCAAAATTCACGCGGGAGCGATTGCGATGAGTGTTGGGTGTTGGCTGGTGCATCTCTGCGGCCTCGCTTGCCCGCGCATGCTCGCGCGCGCAGCGGCCAGCAGCTCGCGGTGGCGCTGACGGGCACTGCGCTGCGGGCACTGCGCTGCGGGCACTTCAGTGCGAGTCGGCGACTTGGGCGGGCGCGGTATCACGGCAACGTCGACAACTGAGACGCGATGATGGTAGTAGCGATGCTGGTGACGATTCTGACAGCAACGACAGGGCAGCCAATGACGGCGCCGATGCTAATCACGCCGACGACGATGACGTCGTTTTCGCGTCGGTGATGAAGGTTTTGGAAGGAATCCGACATGCGCATGCGGCAGACGCGCGAGAGTGGCTCGCATGGTATTATTTGACACGGATCGTACCACCCCAGCACGCGCACAAGGGCGTCCGAACGATTTCGACACGCGCGCACTCGAAGCCCGTGTAGTAGCATTTTGTGAGGATGTTGAAAAACCTGAGATTTTCTTCGGATTTCGCAAGAGCGCGCGCGCACACGTTTGTTGACATTCCGTGTTGCGAAGCCACTTTTTTTGTTTGACATTCGATGTTTAAATCCTTCCGACACCGAGCGTTTCCTATATACCTATACGACCACCCTTCGGGTGATAAGGAGGTGAGGGGAGGGGAGGGGCCAAGGTCGCACTCGATCGATCTCACTATCGAACTCACTACCGATCTCAATCGATCGATCTCAATCGATCGATCTCACCTTCGATCTCACAATCGGCCTCGCTATTTATCTCACAATCGATATCACAATCGATCTCACAGTCGA